CGACACAGGAAACACCTATGGGTCGATTTTGTAACCTTTTTGTTTTTCAGAGAGATTTTTACTCGTTTTAATTAGAAAGCTCAGATTATTATTATTATTATTTTTTACCAACAATGGAGACAGCAGCTGATAAAACAGCCGTATCTCAAAGCTTAAAACATTTTAGCAACTTGTGTTGTTGAAATGAATGATGCAAAGCACACAGCAAGCATTTCTAAGTGCACAAGTGCATCAAACATAGTTTAATCTATCAGAGCTAGTATTTTTTCTGCAGGGTTGGTCATGGGATGTGGAGCTTGTTTATATATGGGTTCTTTAAACTTACTGCTTGCCTGTAAAACACCCATTTCCAACATGATGGAACATGTGCACAATATAACGCAGGGGATGACCTTTATCAACCTCTAGTGGTGAATACTGCTAATTGCAGGGCCTTATCTTCTCACATTTTAAATAGTATGTGCTTTGGAGCAGAAGATTAATCACCAGTTCTTATTGTTATCCTCTTTAGGTTTACAGCCCAGAAAAATGTTAAATGTCATTAAAGTCGGTCATATTTGAGATTTCTCACCTTTCCTTCTCTGACCGACAGGGCTACAAGCATACAGGAACCCTGCGGAGCTCCAGCAGTCCCAGGGGGGCACGGACACGCTCTCCTTCCCGTGGGAGGATCGGCGACAAAGAGGACCGGAGCAGGCAGAGTCGGAGACAGGGGTGAGTGGAGGAGTCGGACGACAAAGTGCTGTTAAACAGGAGCTTTGTTTCCACTTCCTGCAGATTCAGATGGATCAATCGAAGTGCTTTTGAGGCTTTTGTGCTGGGTGACAGATGTTAAACTCTTTTAAGTGGATTATGTGAGTCACGCTCTTAAAGAGCCATGAAAGGAGTTGAATATGGTTAATTTGGTGTAGTATTTGTTAGTATTCTCTGAAAATGGAAACTAAGAGTCATTCAGATCAATAATAATTCTGATAATTTATGTTAAAGAACAAAGTCACACTCAATAGAAATCACACAATGTATAGGGAACGTTTATAACAGCTCCCTGAAAAGTCATAAAAAATAAACACGTAAACTAAACAGTTCAACGGTGACTTTTTCTTTCTTTCTGTAAAACAAAATAGCTAATTTCTCAAAATAATTTAAGTCACTTGAGTCCCAGAAAGTTTCATTTGCTTTACCAAGGGCTCAGTCAGCAGCTCAGTCCTGGCCATAAAATGCTACAGAGGTTCCTGAACCTTAAACTGCTGTTTCAAATCCTCCTCCCCTCTCAGGCCCGGCCCAGCCACCACCACGGTTCAGACTGCGGGACAGCGAAGACGCCTGTACAGCGCCGTCCCAGGACGCGTTTTTGTAGCCACTCGATCACATTCTGCACAGGGGGAGAGAGAAATCAGCTTCAACAAGGGGGACAGGGTCAAAGGTGAGTGTAACTCCATTTTCACATCATGTGAAGGTTTTTGTGGCAGACAGTCAAAACATTTTGTCTTCCATGTCAACTCAAAGTTAGTGATGCTGTTTC